AAGCTGGAAAATTGTCTTACTCCATCTTTTTATAGGTTTTATCACTCCAGAATCCATTTAGAGGCTTGATTTAATGTTGTTTCTGAGGGAAACCAGGGAGACCTCAGGCAATTTCCTGGCTTCTCTCTGCCCTTTGGGCTCCACTCATCCATTCCATTTTTTTAAACCTCTAACCATTAAGATGTTCTTCCTCACATTAAACTATTACTTGCCTTTCTATGACTTTCATCCCTTAGTTAATCCTGTACTTTGGAATACAGAATTCTAAAGCCAGTCTTCCCACACAACAAAATTCTTCAAATGTTTCAAGGTAATGTTCAAGTCATGATTAACTTTCCTCTTTTCCCGGCAAAGCATATTTAGTTCCTTCAAACAACTTCCATATAGTATGGTTTAAAATACCTTTACTACCCTGGGTCACCCTTCTCTGTATATACTCAAGCTTTTTACTGTTCTTCTTTCTTCCTTCCTTCCCTCCCTCCCTCCCGCCTTTCTTTCTTTCGCAACTGGGGTTAAGTGACTTGCCCAGGGTCACACAGCTAGAACATGTCAAGTGTTTGGTCTGAAGCCAGATTTGAACTCAGGTCCTCTTGACTGCAGGGCCAGTGCTCTATCCACTGCGCCACCTAGCTGCCCCCTTACTGTTCTTTCTAAACTGTGGTTTCCAAAACCAAACAATGATCCAGAGTTCTGAACAGCATCTTTTTTTAAAAAAATTTTGGGTGGAGGGCTGGAGGGGTTAGCCTATATTATGGACCTTATGTGTCGCAACAGTAAGAAAAAGTGCTTTCGGGGGCAGCTGAGTGGTGCAGTGGATAGAGCTCCGGCCTTGGAGTCAGGAGGACCCAAGTTCAAATCTGACCTCACACACTTGATGGCTCCTAGCTGTGTGACCCTGGACAAGTCACTTAACCCTAAATGCCTCACCAAAAAGCAAAAAAAAAAAAAAGTACTGTCCAAGAAACCCAGGTTTCCTGACTAGCCAATCACTAGGGAATGAAAGGGAAAGCAGCAGCAGAAACTTCCACTGAGAAAAGAAAGGAAGATAAACTAAAATTAGCAGAACATAAAGGAAGGAATGACAGGAGAGCCCAACCTGACTTTAAGGCCCCACTGCTCCACATAGGTGCAGGCTGAATAGAATCAAAGACTCCTAGTGTCACTGACACATGATAAGTAACAAAATTTATAATATTTATAGACAAGCTGGCATGAATGCCTATTACATAGCTATGTTAAGGACTCATGATTTGTAGCTAGGGCGGACCACACTCCCTTATAATTTAGTTGAGAAGTCCTAGTTCCTTGAAGCTTTAGAAGCTGAACTTGCCCAAAGTCACCCAGCTGGTAACCCTCAGAAGCAGGACCTTAGCATAGATCTTCTGGACTACAAATCCAGTCAGATACTAGCCAACATATCACGACACTTCTCAATCTATGAGTCATTAGAAAAAGTTCATGATCATTAAAATATGTGGTCAGTGAGATGATAAAAGTAGAATATGAGCACATATCCTATCACAGGACATGAGAACTGGGAAAGACTTCACTTCATGTGATGTCTGTGGGAAATGAGAGAGGGACTTAGGGCACTTACCTAATGTGGAACAGACTAGGAACTAAGATACAGAAGCAATCCAACATGGCAGTTCAGTGCTTAGTGAACCTAACACTCCCCATCTGATGAGAAATACTACAACAACTGAAAGCAATGTGGCAGAAATAGTTTTATATCAGCATCTTAAACTAGGCACTGGTTTAAATTACATAGAAGGCACTTAATAAATACTTGCTGATTGACTGATATACCAACAATAAATTCCCAACTGAATACACAACACAAAACTAAAAGGCCATATTATAAAACAAAGACAATGACAAAAACTAGAGAATGGAAGGAGGTGATCTTAAGGCTGAGAATTTTTAACCAAACAAGGGATTAAAATGATCATAAAATAGAATTTCAATCACATAAAATTTTCCACAAATAAAATCAATGTAACTTTTCTAGGAAGAAAAATTACTAAGAAAAAAAACCCTTTCCATGAAAAAGTCAAATGTCCAAGATATATAAGGAACTCATGTAAGCATCTAACAGCAAGAGCCATTTCCTAAGAGATAAAAGGTAAGATACAAAGTTTTCAAAAGAATTATAAACAATCATATGAAAAATTGCATCAAATCAATAAGAAATATTCAAATGGAGGCAACTCTAAGGATTTATGTCCTACTCTCCAAACTGGCAAAGATAATAAAAAATAGAAAAAGTCAACGTTGAAAGGGCTGTGGAAGGGGCTGGCACATTCATATACTACTGGAAGAACTACGAATTGGTTCAACTGTTCTGGAAAATAATTTGGAATTATGTGAGAAAAATTACTAATTGTTTATATTTGCTGACTTGTAGCCATTCCACTACTGTGAATGTATGCAAGGAAGGAAAAGATAGAGAGATTCCATATATACCAAAATATTAATGTCAGAAAGTTTTGTCATAGTAAAATACTTGAAGAAAAGTGATGTGCCTATGTCTTGAGAAATAACTAAAGAAACTGTGGTATGCGGGGCAGCTAGGTGGCGCAGTGGATAGAGCACTGGCCCTGAAGTCAGGAGTACCTGAGTTCAAATCTGGTCTCAGACCAAACACCTGACACCAGCTGTGTGACCCTGGGCAAGTCACTTAACCCCAACTGCCTTAAAAAAAAAAAGGAAAAAAAAAGAAACTGTAGTATGTGAATGTAATGAAGTATTACTATGTTATAAGAAATTATGGTCTTGTTTTTTTTTTTAAGGCAATTGGGGTTAAATGACTTGCCCAGGATCACAAAGCTAGTAAGTGTCAAGTGTTTGGTCTGAGGCTGGATCTGAACTCAGGTCCTCCTGACTTCAGGGCCGGTGCTCTATCCACTGCGCCACTTAACTGCCCCACAAGAAATTATGAATAAATAAATTCAGAGACACATCCTAAGACCTGTGTCAACAGATGCAGAGTACAATAAAGCAGAACTAAGAGAAAAATATATACAGTGACTACAATAATGTAAATGAAAATAACACTAAAAGGTAATTGTATCTTATTTAATTGAAGGAAGAGAGCAAATAATAAAATACACCATTCTTCTCTCACTACAGAGTTGGGAGACTCTGGATATCGAATCTGGTATATGCTGTCATCTATCATTATTCATGTTGTTTGGTTTTGCTTAATTGTTTTTCTTTTTTATGAGGAAGGGTTCAGTGAGGCTGTTTCAAGAGGAAAGGACTGTCACATAAAATCAAAAAATATTAACAAAAACCTTACCTTACCAAAATGATTACCAAAAAATAGTAACTTGCCTAAAATCACACAGATAGTGACCGATACTGAATTTGAAGTCAGGTCTTCTGACTCCAAAACCAATGGTCTTTTAATATATATATGTGCGTGTATGTATGTATGTGTGTGTGTATACATGTATATGTGCATGCATGCATGTGTACATATATAGGTATCTGTGTACGCATGCATGTGTATGTGCATGTACACACATGTTCATGATCAGTTATCATATAGAATGTGAAGAGAATGATTGCAAAATCCTGGGAACACAAAGAAGAAGGCTCCATTGGCCTAATTCTCTCTGTGGAAGATGACAAAGAATAAACTTGAGCTAAGAACCATCAGTTTACAAGCTATGCATTCCAAGAATATCTATGCAGTGATAACAAGGTTACTCATGAAAGGAAACAGAGGTTCTATCCATCACAGTGAGGGCAGCATAGCTGTATAAAGGCTGCCACCAGTGTGTCACAACTGTCAAGGGATTCATCCTGGAAGTGTTACATGCCTACTGACAGAGATACAATTCCTTGTGAACCTCCAATAGCACTTAACTTACATGGGTCAAGACAATTGAGCACTACATGCCCCTGTCCAGTTCTTTTATATAACACAATAATTTAGTGGATGCATAAGTCTAAGCTGAACTTAATTCCTAATCCTATGTAGTGAAATCTCACTAATTTACACTACCAGAGAGGAGGCCAATTGAAATAATAAACATTTTAAAGAAATGCAATTTTATTACTATAAAAAATATGTAGTACCTCAAACTTGGCTTAAAAAAGTATCCTTGAGAACCTCAGGGGTATGCTTTAACAAATAAATAAAACCAATGCGTAATGACTATGACAGCTGTTCATAAAGCTTTACTTTGACAGCTTTAAGAGATCTGAGAGATGAACTTAGTCCAATGCCTTTCATTTTATAACTGAGAAAATTAAAGCCAAGTAACATTAAGTCATTTGATGTAGCTAACAGATCAAATTAGTCACAGAACTGGAACTAGAACCCAAGTCATCTAAATTTCAGCTTAGTTTTCAATCTACTATGAGGTAATTCTAGAGCACTGGTGTCAAACTCAAACACAAGCTGATTCCTGCTGGCCACATACTGACTTTGAAAATCCCAATTAACATTATCTTTGTTGTACTGTACTCTTATTTATTTTGTTAAACATTTCTCAATTACATTTCAATCTGGTTTTGGCTGCACTCAGAAGTGTTGAGGGAAGACCAAGAGTTTCACATCTTTGTTCTAGAATGTATGAGGGTATCTAATAAAAATTGGCACTCTTAAGTGTTTTAAATATATTGATGCAATCATAAGCTCTTAAAAACATTAATTTTTATTTATATTAATTTAAAGCAAAAATAAACTTTAGCCCAGACTTCTCTATGTTACCATAAATTACAAACCAATAATTTTGAAGGCATTTTATTTCAATAATATTTTAAAATCTATGACATTTTAACATATAAAAAGAGGATTCAAATTTTTTAAATGTTTAAACCTACCTCTTTAGGAAAATTTAGAATTTATAAGATGGTAATGAAGTTATACACTTGAGAAGGCTTTTTAACCTTCTTGCTTTATCAAGATTATGCTTATGAAACTTTTTTCAAAAAAAGATTCATTTTACAAAACTATCCTATAAATAATTCTTTTAAAAACACACTACCTGAATGTAATAAATGCCTTTTTCCTGAGCATACATCATAAGAAAACAATAATCCAAGTTTTGCTTTGTCCTCCACCTGAAATAAAAAAGTCATCAAAAACATGAATTAGAAATTAAACATGGAATTTAACTAAATATTTATGCTCCACTCCATCAGTGGAAAACAGCCTACTTGATCAGGTTCAAGTTAAATTCCCAATCAGTCTCAAATTGTGAGTGGGTTAAGATGGATTTGGTGGTATTTCTGACTTGTTTTTATAAACTTTTTGAAAAATTTCAAAGAATAAATTTAGTATTCCTCTTTTTCATAACTGGTTAGTCAGTGAAGGGAAAATGTGGGTGGGTGAGAGCTGTACAGATTCTAATACACCTTGGGAAAGTGCACCTATTTTGCTTAAATGATTCAATAATTTTCTTCTTCTTCTTTTATGTACTTAGGAGGGGTTAGTCAGAGAATAGGCATCAAACAAGTTAGAAAACTTTATCCTACAACAAGCAGCCTGCCAAAATAAAGTACACAGACCTGAGAAAGACTAAGAACATCATGGTAAATTTTGACTTGGAAAGAGATTACCTGAATAACCACAAAAAAAAAATCTAATGAGGTTGGGGAAAAGTTGAAATTGTGTGGGATTTAAATAAAACAAAACAAAAAACACATAAAATAACCCCAACAGCATTCACTGAATCAGAGTCAAGTATAAAACAAGCCTCTGTATGTATGTTAGAACTTTTTTCTTGTGGAAATGTTTGTCAATGAGAGACATTAACATTATTACATCACTTTGCACTGTTTCAACTATCTTCCAGAAAGACAAAACTGTTATCCTAAACATATCCTATCCTATACTGAGAATCCTATGGACCTGGAAATTGTACATTTAGACAAATCTGATTTCACTGGGGTAAATATTCCTTCTACCACTGCCAATCACACCTCTGTGATTTTTCATTCTATGCAATTCTTATCCATGGCTTTCTGTAAATTCTTTATAGAAAATCTATAATATTCTTTCCACTGATAAAAGTCACACATCCTCTTTCAAACCTTTCTGCAATTCTTGTCTAGTTATTTCCACAAATTATCCGTATAGGTCCTACACAATGAGGTAAAGGCCTCTCTCCCATTCTTGTAATTGGTAACCTGGAGGGCACCAATGTAGCACCCCAACTGTTTTTCTTTCATCCCTCATATTTGGTACATGACTGGCCCACTTACTTTTCTCCTAATATTTTTTACACCACTTTGGAGAACAATTTCTCATCAATAACACACTGAAACCTTGTTACAGCTATAATATGTCTTTCACTGCCCTTTAAATCATATACACTTATGAATTTTCCATGTCTGCAGTGTTCCAAGACTTGCAGCAATAGGTGGAAGGATAGTGGTGCTGAAGGAAGGGATTCTGTGGCATGTACTCTGGGAAGAGTGACAATACTTTCCAATTTCCCAAATGCAGTCAGAACTGATCTCTTCCTCCCACTGAATCCTAAGCCCAAGTCATCCTCAGCACCTGATGAAAATATACATATCCTAATAGGCTAACTCAACATATCTGCTTTTCAGAGTCTGGAAAATAATCCTTTTAAATTCACTTGATTTTCCATAACGGATGGCTAAGTCAATTTATTTTGAATAGTTATGAATTTCCTCTGAGGAAGTATTATTAGTTTTGAGGTTTGTTTGGGTTTTTTTTACCTACTTGACCCAATTACTACAATATTACCTATAAATAGGAATTTATGGACATTCATACTATTAACAGGGAATTCTTTTGTTTGGGATCTACAGAGAACATCAACTAAGACTTTAAGCACCTAAGATGAATTAAATATGTACAGTTACATATAATTTGTATAAATGATTATTAAATAGTATCTCCTTACTTGAGACCTCATTTGACACTGATACTTGGGGTTACTGAATATCACTGAAGACATATTTGTCAGTATAATTTAAGTTTAGCGTACACTTTGTTTCAAGGGTCTTTTTTTTTCTGTACAAGCAAAGCCAAATAAAGGAAAAAAGACAAAGGAAACAAGTCTGATTACATATGTAACATGCCATACTTGTAATCCATCACCTTTCTATTGGGAAGTGGCAAGTATGTTTATTTTATCATTGTTCCTTTGGAGCCAAGTATCAGCCTGATTTCTGTTAATCTTTCAATGTCATTTTTATTTTCTTTTTTGTAGTCACTGAGTAAACTCTTTTCCCAGTTGTTTTCTTTGCTTATATATCAATTCATACAAGTCTTCCCATGTTTCTCTGAACTCCTCATACTCATCCTTTCATTATGGCATAGTAATATTCCATTACAGTCACATGCCACAATTTGTTCAGTCATTCCTCAACTGATAAAAGCCCACTGTCAACACTTTTTTGGGTGCTACAAAATGTGTTGTTAGGAATATTTTATGAATATTAATAACAGCACCTATCTCACATAGGTGATAAGAGAATCAAATAAAACAAGACAATATATGTAAAGTGCTTTGCAAACCTAAAAGTGCTATTTAAATGGTAGCTTTAATTATTTTGGTATAAAAGGTATCTTCCTGCCATGATAGGATCAACTGGTCAAAGGGTATGAATAGTTCTTTTCATGTAATTCCAAAATGATTTCTAGGAGATAAGTCACCTCATAGCTCTACCAACTGTGCATGTGTATGCCTGACTTCCTACTGCTTCTCTAACACTGACTATTATGTTTTATCAACATAAAAGGAGATACTGTATTTAAAGTGCTTTGCAGATCTTAAAGAGCTGTAAAAAGGTCAACTGCTATTATCTGCATCAATACGATACATACAGTTTGCATTTCTCTTATTATTAGGGATGTGAAGCATTATTTCTTGTTGCATTTCTTTTTAAAATTTTCTTTATTAACCTTGATCACTTATCCATTGGGAAATGTCTCTGAGTTATATAGATTATGTCCATTTGCTATGAATCACTGGTCCCTGACTTTCATTAGTGATACCAGAGATAAATGATGCAAGATTTTCTCCCAATTAACAGCTTCTCTTCTTATTCCACCTGCACTAATTTTGTTCTTGCCAAAGTTTTTAAAATTATATATGACTGAAATTGCCTTTTTTTTCTTTTATAATCTTTTCTATATCTTTTGGTTATGAACTCTTGCCCTCGCTACAGTTGTAAAAGCTACTTTCCTATTTTTTTTAATGGCATACCCTTCTATAGTTAGGACAAATCCTTTTGGAGCTTTAGTATTTAAGACACAAATCTAAACCTATGTTCTACCAGTTTTCCCAGTAATTCTTCTACAAAGAACAAGCCCTTTCTCCAAAACTTTGCATTCTTGGAGTTATCAGATACTGGGCTACTATAAGCAGTTCATCAGCTTCTAGGTCTTCCTTATCTCATCTAGTCTGTTCCACTAATATACTTTTCTATTTTGTAACCAGTACCAAATATGATTACTATTTCATAATACCACATTTTGCTCTACACCATTCTGATTTTTAAAGCATTTGATTCTAAATATAGATGAATATTAATATTTTTTCTAATTCTCAGACAGCTATGTAACTAGAAGGATGTGGTTTATTGAAGAAAATCATTTACAAAATCCCATTACCTTCTCATGTTTTCATCAAGGATATTCTTGATATACACACTGATTATTCTCAAAGATTTTGTACAGATGAGAAATCTGGCATATCAGTTAGTAGTTACTGATGTCTTCTTGGTTGCAGGGATAGAAGGAGAGCAGAAGGGAAGGTGCTGCAGTATTAAAAGCGACGTCTGTGGTTTTCTGGATTTTAATGAAATTTCCCCCTTCCAAGATATCTTGAAAATTCATCCTTGAATGCCTTTTCAATTGAGTTACCTCCAATTTTTCACATGGTACATCAGGTACTAAGGTGACAAGAATTCTGATAGAATTTCACTACTGTTGGAGGTGAAAAGAGATTATAGAAGAAATGCCCACAGATCAGTTCTACTTTACATATTTGTTGCACTTCTCTCCAGGCACAATTTCTCAACTGCTTTTCATTATTTTATGAATCAATACTGCTTGCTCAAGCTCCCTCATCCTTTTCTGGAATGACTTGTAAAAAAACCTGTACTCTACACCAGGGTTGTCCCTAGCTGTAGCATGTCTATCGGGCAAAGAGATTATGCATTTATAGGCTGATGGGACTTCTGGGCTCTATTAGTTTTCTCACTTTCAGGAATGACTTCTCCCATAAGTTAAACTTTAACAGACAATGATAATCAACATAGTTAATTTTGGAGCAATTTCCATTTTTCTAAGTCTACAACAGTTTAAAGAGGTCTGAATAGGGCTGCTTTCATTACACTCCATGTCTTCTATCTTTATCTTTTCTTCAAATTTAGTGTACTTACTCTGATGCTTGCTCTATAAGCTAATGATTTGCCTATACAGCTGATTCCGATATGACCAGCACACTAGTAATCAGTAATTTCCTATCTGTTAAGATAGTCAATTCCATTTTCTGAAATGCTAATCAATGCTCAAATCCAGTATCTTCAGACTCTTTTCTTGAACAGAGTATTTATTATGTACAAGTATGAGGTTTCAAAGTGGTCTACATATCTATAAGACTGGTAGAAGCTTTGGGGGGTGATAAAAGAGGATTCAAAATCATGCCCCAAAAATACTCAAGTCTAGATTGGGTATGATTAAGAAAGACAAACATTTGTTAACATAATCCTTAGGTGATTACTTTATAGAAATTGAAAAAAAAACAATAAAAATTCAACTAGAAGAACAAAAAGTTAAGAACCTCAAGGGAAATAATGAAAAAAGTGGGAAGGAAGTGTGGCTAGCAGCCCAAGATCTAAAATTACACCTCAAAACAGTAATCATCAAAATAATTAGGTACTGGTTTAAAACCAGTAAATATCAGTGAAACAGATTAGGTACACAACGTATAGAAGCAAACACACAGAGAAGCCTAGTATCTGGCTACTGTGGTAAGGACTCACTATCTAACAAACTGCTGCGAAAAGTAGACAGCAATCTGTCAGAAATCAGGGTTAGATCAATACCTTACACTATATTCCAAGATAAGCTCTAAATGGATACGTGACCTAGAGACAGAAGGTCCCATCCTAAAAAATTCAAAGAACGAGGAAGAAATTTCCTTTCAGATCTACGGGAGAGGAAGGGTTCATGACCAAACAAGGGAAAGAGAGGGTAACAAAAGATAAAATGGACAGATTTAATAACAAAATTTAAAAGGGTTTTGTACAAACAAAACCAAAGAAGGTAAATTAGAAGGAAAACCATTAACTAGGAAAACACTTTTACAGCAAGTTTTCCTGAAAAAGGTCTCACTTCAAAGATATGTAAGTAACAGAATCAAGTTTCTAAGAGTAAAAAGCCTTTCCTCAACTAATAAGTGGCCAAAGGATATGAATAGTCAGTTCACAAAGGAAAAAAATCCAAGCTATTTATAGCCACATGAAAAAATGTTCCAAGTCACTAATGATTAGAGAAATGTAAATTAAAGCAACTCTGAAGTTCCACTTTACACCCATTAGATCAGCAAAGTTGAGAAAATGACAAATGTTGAAGAGTCTGTGAGAAAACAAGAATACTGAGGATAAAGCTGTAAATTCATCTAGCCATTCTGAAAAGGAATTTGTTACTATGCCCAAATGGTTACTCTGGGTATATACCCTTTGACCCAGTAATATACCACTACTAAGTCTATTTTCCAGAGAGATCAAAGAAAGAAGAAAAAGTTCCACATATATAAAAACACTTATAGCAGTTCTTTTATGGCAGCAATGAACTGGAAAAATAAGGGGGCTCCCATCAAATAGGGAATTAACTGAACAAATTATGGTATATGAATGTAAAGGAATATTATTGCTCTGTGAGAAAGATGGTTTCAACGAAACCTGGGAAGACCTGTATGGCGTGATACAGAGTGAAGTGAGCAGGACCAGAAGAATTTATACCATGAAATCAACATTGTAGAATCTAACCATTTTGAAAGATTCAAGAACTCTGATTGAAAGAGTAATCAATCATGATTCTAAAGGAACAATGATGAAGAAAACTACCCACTTCGTGACAGAAAGGTGATGGACTGATATGAAGCATGAAATACACACTTTTGGACATAGCCTATGTAGGAATGTGTTTTCCCTAACTATACACATTTGTTACAAGGGTTTCGTTGTTCTTTTTTTCTCTCCAGTGGGTAAAGGAGAGATGGGGAGAAAAAAATGCTTGGTAATGTTTTTAAAATAAAATTTAATCTCAAAAAATAAGCCTTTGGTCAAATTTTCCATAGTAGTACTCTTTCTTAAACCAAGATTTACACTACCTAGCAAATATAAGTTTTCAAAGCAGCACCCTGTGCTGCACAGCACTGCAGATAACTGTTGGAAAAGTTTGCTTAACTTTTGAATCACACCTATTTTCTTTTTTTAAAAAAATTTTTTTCACATCTATTTTCCAGATGCCAAATATTCTCCTAAGCATCTAAAACAAAATTCTATATTACAAATTGGTTTAGCAAGTCAAATACCTGGGTTTGAATTTACCAAAGTTTAATTTTTTCTCACCCCTCTCCATAAAACTCTCCTTAATGAAAAAGTCTTTCCCCTATTCAAAGACTCCTCATATTTCCCTACAGTGAAAAGACAAAAATACCCACTAATACAGCAAATTTTCAAGAAAATTTGGAAATATATTAAAAAGTTTCCCTAAGTCAAGTAACATTTCTACCAATTCTACTCCTATGTAAACACAATAAAATCACTGAGAGGAATTTGGTTAGGGGGACAGATGTAGGAAAACAACAGGACCCAGTTTGAATCTCAGAAGGACTCTCCTGTTCATGGGTGTACTTATTTGCAAAATGGGCTCTAATCCACAGTTAAAGTTCTGCAATAAATGATACGACAACGAAGCAAACTCCAGTGCTTAGTTCAATATGTTGCATATACTAGGCACCAAATAAATGCTAAATGCAATAGGACACATTAATCAAGCAAATAATTCAAACATTAGAAATGTGGCTTAATTCTATTCAGTGAAATTTACATCTAAATTGGCCAAGTATCTTAGATAAAACAAATTACTAATTTAAATTTTACAGTTTACTAGACTGTATGTAAATTCCACAAAGTCAAGAACTCTACAGGTTATCTAAATCTTTTATTTCCCATAAGCACTTAGCTGCATTCTGTATTCAGCAGGTGCTTAATAGGTGTATTGTTTTTATTATTTTCAGCTTTTGGAATTATTTGGGATGCTACATATTTTTAAAACATAAACTAAAAGTTAGATATTAAACAAAGACAAGTCTTCAGAATACCCTAAATATTACTGTGTCCTGGCGTTCAGAGGTAACAACCACTCTCATTTACTAGCTATTTGATCTTGAGCAAATCATTTAACTTCAGTGAGCCTCAGCTTTCTTATCTGTAAAATGGTAATAATCATACCTCTAGGACCTACCTCACAGGGTTGTTGTGAGCCTCAAATGAGAGGCTCAAAGTGCTTTGAAACACTTTATAAATGTTGGTCATTATTATTACTTTTATTTAATATATATGAATATCTCTGCCCCTCCCAACATTACTATAAGAGAATTTATATTCAAGCATTTTATGAACAACAGAAGTCAAGTTATTTTTAAAAATCTTACTTTACTCTTTCTTTTGAGTCTCCAAATGTCTTCTTTAAGTTTGTGAAGTCAGGATAATAAGTTGCAGGAGGGGATATTATTTCCATCAAACCAGAATTGATTTCCGTAGAAAATCTATCATAATAAAGGTCAACTGAGTTACTTAAGTGTGATTTATTTTTCTTCTTGCCATTCTTACTAAATCTGACAGAAAACAAATCATTAATCATTATAATAAATATGTTAAATGAATTTGTTCATCTATCTCATTCATCAGAATGACAATAAGCAAAACAGTATTATTCCTCTGATGGAAGAAAAAAAGTAAAGTGAACTACATCTTAAATGTCCAATTATAAAAACCTTAAGTTTTAATGATAATGTCATGAAAATTGCTTAGGTCAAAGAACAAAGAGTAACAGAACTTTTGCTTGGTCTAGACTTGAGGAACATCATGCCCCACCCCGAGAAAAGCTGATCATGGGGCAGCTAGGTGGTGCAGTGGATAGAGCACCGGCCCTGGATTCAGGAAGACCTGAGTTCAAATCCGACCTCAGACACATAACACTTACTAGCTATGTGACTCTGGACAAGTAAGTCACTTAACCCCACTGAGAAAGAAAAGAAGGAAGGAAGGAAGGAAGGAAGGAAGGAAGGAAGGAAGGAAGGAAGGAAGGAAGGAAGGAAGGAAGGAAGGAAGGAAGGAAGGAAGGAAGGAAGGAAGGAAGGAAGGAAGGAAGGAAGGAAGAAGGAAGAAGAAAGAAGGAAAGAAGGAAAGAAGGAAAGAGGAAAGAAGGAAAGAAGGAAAGAAAGGAAAGGGAAAAAAAAGCCGATCACCTGAAATCTCATCATCATGTTGATGGCTCAGTTCTGGATATTTTACTTCTTTAGCTTCCCTCCTCTCCACTCTGATTACAGGGCTGGAGGGTAGAAAATGAAAATAACCTAAAAGCCCTCCTTTATAAAAGGCTAGGACCTGATTTGTTGTTATTGTTGTTCAGTCTATTCAGTCTGACTCTTCATGACCCCATTTGGGGTTTTCTTGGCAAAGATACTGGAATGTTTTGCCATTTCCTTCTCCAGCTCATTTTACAGATGAAAAAACGGAGACAAACAGGGTTAGGCGACTTGCCCAGGGTCACACAGCTAGTGAGTGTCTCAGGCCAAATTTAAACTCAGGAAGATGAGTCTTTCTGACTCCAGGCTTGGTATTCTATCCACTGTACCGCTTAGTTGCCAAAAATACTGGAGTGGTTTGCCACTTCCTTCTCCAGTAGAGTAAGGCAAACAGAGGTCAAACGATTTGCCCAGGGTCACACAGCTATTGTCTGAGGCTGGATCTGAACTAAGGTACTCCAGAATCGAGGCTCTGCATTCTAACTGCTGAGCCATCTCTTTTTCCAGCTAACTTATCCACTTTCCATCAGCAGCTCTGCTTGGTTTGGACTCCATGGAACTTCACACCCCCTGTTCCACCCACTCCCTCTCCCAGTCTCACCTGCCTCCTTCCATGTGTTGTCTTCCTCCATTAGTCTGTAAGTTCTCTGAGGGCAAGGACTGTCTTTTTCTTATTTGTATGCCCAGTGCTTATCATAGTGCCTGGCGTACAGTAGGTTCTTAATAAATGTTTACTGAATTGAAAATGTTTTACTGAATATCAATGTATCTTTACAAAGTCAAGTGGACAAAATTTGAAGGCAGAAGACATGGGGCTAGGGGGATAGGTAGAATCTCTAGATATCATGGCTTTTAGGATTAAAAATTGTTGTGGAAGTTCAATACATAAGGAACCTTAAGATCTCCTGCTTGCAGACCCTCTTTTGTGTCTTAGATTGTCCTACTTCCCAGTAATTTCAGATAAATTATAAGAAGTTTAATATCATGTTTTGAACTTCATCAAGAAAGATACTACATAAAAGATGTGCTATTTTATATTTTCTATGAGTAAAAAAGGTCAAAAGACAACGAGGTGGCAATTAAAATATCTAATTCTTTAATTAGAAATAACTTACTCTTTCTCCAGAATGGCTACAACACTGTGTACATAATCTAGATCCGTCTGAAAAATAAAAAAAAATTTTTTTTTAGTCATGTTCATGTTCTTTGACATTTATCACTATATATAATGAGATGAGAGAAAACACAGCATAGTGGACAGAGAGCTGGCTGGCCTTAGAATTAGGAAGACTTATCTTCCCTTTTCCCCTTCCCCTCATGCCCCTCTCTACGCCTCTCAGATGACTCACGGATCTATTTATCTAACCCCAGTTTATCTTCTGAGTTTCATTCACTCCCACATCACCCTGTGACAATTTAATACCTCCAGCTCAATGTCCCATAGACCTCTCAAATGTAACATATTTGAAATAGAACTCATTAACTCTCTGCCTCCCCTCCTACCACCATGGCCCCTCTTCTGAATTTCCCTGTTTCTGTCAAGGGCGCTATCTTTCCAGTGTCCAAGATGAATAATCTTACCATTATCCTCAACTCCTAACTGCCCATCACCTCCTATAGCCAATCCATTACCAAATCTTGCCATTTCTGTACATGACACTGTCTACCCCTATAGTATCTCTCTCATCTGCCACCTTCTTTCTACTCTCACAGTCACCACCTTAACTAATGTCTTTGTCACTTCTCACCTGGAGTATTCCAATGATCTCATAATTCGTCTCCTCACCTCAAGGCTCTCCCCACTCCCGACCAAGTCGAACAGAGCTGCAAAGTGGTTTTCCCTAAGCACAGACAGACCTGACCATGTTACTCTGCTACTGAATGAACTCCAAAGGCTCCCTAATAAATTCCTCTCTCTTAAAGCCCTTCACAATGTGGCCCGAACTTAGCTCTCCACTTTGATTACATATTAGTCCCCTTGTTCACTTGATGGTCCACCCAAATTGACCTTTCTCTTCTCATACATGACACTTCATCTTCTGTGTCCTTGCCTTTGCACCATCCATCCCCAAGTGTGCAAGGCATGTCCTCCTCACCTCTGCCTCACAAGAACCCTTGAATTCTCCCTGATTCCAACAACCTTTTATTTAATGTTTATTCTGCACATATAAAGGGTATTCTATAAAAATTTTGTTCAGTTCTAGTCTTTAACAGCTTATTATTAAATATGTACATTAAGTTTAATAGCTGAAAGCCGCACTAAGACTTTTAGGATATACTGTGTAAGTATATACAGAATAATGTTACCTCTTCTGTTAGAACATAAGCTCCTTGAAGAAAGGGATTTTTTGTCTGTATCTTAAGTGTGAAACAAAGCGTCTGGCATATGATAGGCACTTAACGGCTTGCTGATCAACAAAATTAATTTATCCTTTAAAGAACAAAGCCTGAAGAGGGAAGCCCAGAGTTCTGGGTCCAAAGAAGGTTGACAAGAGAATTAAGTAGTGCCCTCGCCCTTTAAACTACTGTTTAGAAGTAACAGGGGTAGGGACCAGAGATTTTTCTCAGGCCATTCTGTAGACTATGGATACACAAATGGGTATGAGAAACAACTACGTTTAGCAACTATGGTTTTACTGTAGGAGACACCACTTCTGGACACTTCCCTTAACCCATGCAGAGAATCCTCACATCATTCCCTAAACCTCTTAGAATGAGGCATGAATTCAGTATTTCATTTTACCATCTTCTTTTAACCACATGTATTAGTAACCTGGCTAAAAGTCAAATCCAAAATAAGGCCTCTGGAAATAAAATTAACTATTTTTCCTTTAAATGGATGTAATAGGTGCCTTTTTATCTAATAACTAACAAGTAAAGGACTTTGAATAATTAATACTGAATGAATGCTGATTAAAGGATCTGGAAATTCAAGAATATAACAATCAATATATATGACCACCAAATATGATATGTTTCAATGAAAGACAAGACAAAAAAAGGGGAGGGGAATCCCTAAAACTTTCAATTTAATCTCAAAACTCTGATTCATCTGTTTTTGTGCTACCATTTCCTAACACACACAAAACAAAAACCAAATTCCATATTATTCTGCACCCTGATACTTAAGTAGGATAATTAATATTCAAGGAAAGGCAGAGGAAGACAAATGACCATCATTCAATATACGAAATGTTTCCAGCAGACAGTGAAGTAAAACAACTTAAAAGCAGCTGGTATCCTGTTTAATGTACCACATACACCAATATTTTGTTGTGTTCTAGGAGGCAGTCACCAAAAATATTATACCATTATACTGACTTTCTGAAATTAATAATTCTTGTGAGCAAATCAATCAATAAATTATTTATTAAGTGCATACTACATACCAAGCACTGATAGTCCAACTCAAATGCTATCTCCTTCATGAAGCCAATTTTTAATCTGACCTTTCAGCAATAATCTTCCCTTCAGGTCACACATATATGCCTTGCACATAGCAAGTGCCTTTGGACTGGACTGGATTTTGTTTTCTACCTCTCTAATTCACTTATCAAAGAATATTGTGTATTATAGTTACTATTTTTGTGTTGAACTCCCTTGTTAAATGCAAGCACTATAAAGGAAGGGACTGGTTGTCAAACTATATTTTCCCCTAGTGCCTAGCATCGTGATCTGCATATACTTTACAAATGATTGCTAGACGGATAGAAACAAGGGTGAAACATGCCAGAACCATTGTGAAGGTACAATCAACATAATTTGATGATTAATTAGATATAGGAGGAGGGAGGAAAGAATGAAAGATGACTCTGTGGTTTGGAGAAAGAGTCATGCCAGCAACAAATAGAGAAGTCAAAATGAATAATTAGCCTAACAGCCCAGGTTATATTTAAGACATGAAAGAAGAAGCAACGGCAGGAAGTATCCTGCTGGTAATGGGGGTCTGGAACAAAGAGAATGTAGGGATATTTGGAGAGAGATTTAGGAGTCAAGTGCATAATGATCATAGTTCAAGCCATGGTAAAAGATGACCTCAACAAGCAAGAAAGTGCTAACAGACAAATAATCAGTAAATAAATGTCAATGATCTCTTGAAAAAAGCAACTTTTGGGGGAGCCAGGTGGGGAAATGGATAGAGCACCAGCCCTGGAGTCAGGATGACTTGAGTTCAAATCTGGCCTCAGCTAGCCTTACTAGCTGTGTGACCCTGGGCAAGTCACTTAACCCCAATTGACTCCCCCCAAAAACAACTTTTAGGGTATCTCTTAGGTCCAATATAACCCAACAGCTTATACATTTCACACCAATAATATTGTACAATGATAATCAATGTTTATAATGTTGGATAATGATATGTGTAAATGTTGACCCTCCAGTCAATATAAGATATTAAAATGATTTTGGAATTATCAAAATAAATTAGGCTTAACAGAATTTCAATGTTAAGGATATTTTCTGTGATCCACATTCTTGGATTTGGGCAACTCATACATATACATGTTATGTATGACATATGTATACACACCCATACACACCATAAAAGGAAATATCTTCGGGATTTTTAAGACCTAATTTAAAATCCTGACTCTGATACTTGCCAATTGTATGACACTAGGTAAGACATTTATGTTTATCTAGGTTTCCTCATCTGTATAAATGTGGATAACACTTGTCATAACCTACCTCACAGGTCTACTGTGAGGAAATACTCTGTAAACCTTAAAGCTTTATATAAATGGAAGTAATTTTTAGAATATTCATGTGATCAAAACACTCCCTTTCCTAAAATATTCTGGATAAATGGAAGCTCAATGTTTTTGTTAGCTTATTGACTTTACACAGTGCAAAAGTGATGGCTCTAAAGCAGAGGTCTAAGTGATTCCCACATTCAAACTCCAGTGGCTCCTTATTGCTTCTAGGTTCAAACACATATTTCTCTGTTTGACTTATAAGAGTTCTTCATCCCCTGCTTCCAGCCAAACTAGGCTACCTGCAATCTGCCACATATAGCATTACCTCTCCCTACTCTAAATAAGCCTTTAAATAAGCTACCCCACTCCCCGCCCAAGCAGGCAGTGCCCTCTTTTCTCACCTCTACTTCTTAGAAGCCTTCTTCAAAGCTCAATTCAAGCAATGAGGCTGTTCTTAATTTCCCCCACTCCTAAAGCTCCTTGTGTTTACTGCATATGTATTTTGTATTTACATACACATTTTGTGAATCAGCTCCTCTCAATATCACAAAGGCCTTCAGAGCAGGGACTATTTTCTTTTTTTTTTTCTATATGCCCAGTGCCTAGCACAGTGCCTAGAACGCAGCAGATATTTAATAAATGCTTGTTGCTCAATTTACTTACTGCCTGAATAAAAAGCTTAAATTTGATTTTAAAAAGATTTAAATGCATTTGATGTTTCTTAAAGGGTAATAATTTCAGCATAACATAGGACTTATTCACTTAAGAACTTATTTTGCAGGGGCAGTGAGGTGGCGCAGTGGATAGAGCACCGGCCCTGGATTCAGGAGGACCTGAGTTCAAATCTGACCTCAGACACATAACACTTACTAGCTGTGTGACCCTGTGCAAGTCACTTAACCCCACTGCCTAGCCAAAAAAAAAAAAAACTAATTTTGCAAGTAGCAGACCATAGTAATACTAATTAAACTTAACTCCTGCCCTTGTTATTAAATTATACAGCCCTATACATCAAAAAAAGAGAGATTTATAGAGAAATTACTTCATGCTAGAAAGGAAACTGCCCCAAAGTCAACTAATTGTTTGGGAATAGTTCACTGAAATGCAAAGTAAGATCCTATCACTTCTGAATATATAGATTTTGTTTACATTTGATTATATTTTGTGGCAAAGGTGTTATCTATGCTATACACTGACCAGTAAAGAAAAGAAGTATAATGACTTGTGTTGGAAGTATCAGGAATATACATTACATGAGTGATCACAGCACATTTTTTCAGAATTATTCCAACTGGATAACAGTTTAGACGATTTATTTTTTAAATGTGCTGGTTGTTCCTCAACTTGCTTTATAAAAAGAAAAATTTCAATTGCCAAAAACAGTATGCTCATCATAAAAAATAAATGGCATAATACCTCCCAAATGACTGCCTTCTACAGTAAATCACAGGAAGTTGAGTGTTTTTAAGAAATAAAACCAGAAAGTTTGAGGTCAGTTTCTGTGCAAGAAAAAACAAATATTGCAAAAGAACTTTCTAGCATCAGAAAAAAATAGAATGTAAAATAAATCATGTATAATTTTGATTTAGCATCTTGACTGATGACAGCAGTGGAAACATGCTAATAATGTGCACATTTAATCAACTTTTTCTACATATGAATTTCTATTCAATCTCCAACAAGAACAGGAAGCATTAGCATGGTTAATACAAGATCAGATGATCAAAAAGAGCTTTCCTGCTTTCTTTATGACCATAATGACATCTAAATCCTAGTAAAAAAGAAACAAAGAAAAAAAAGACCAATGAGAAATAAAATGGAATTAGGGCAACTGGGCACCACTCCGGGCCTGGAGTCAAGAAGACCTGAATTCAAATCTGCTGTCTGACACTAGCTGCATGACCCTGAGCAAATCACTCAACCTGTTTGTCTTAATTCAATGGAGAAGGAAATGATAAACCACTCCAGTATCTTGCCAAGAAAACCCCATGAACAGTATGGTCCACTGGGTCATGAGGAAACAGATACAACCGAATGACTGAACAACAACAACAACTAAAATGGCAGTCACCAAAAAGGTATCTGAATAATAAAGCTGGAGTCCCACCAACCCCTACAATCTATATCTGCCTTATAAATCAATGCCTTTTGATTTATCATCTTATACCATTAGGTCAGCTTGAAAAAAAAAAGGCAAAATAATACTATCTATTGAGAAGTTAAATAATTTTTTGGATAGAAGCCTGGCTGTGGCTACTTTCAATAATTCCTGTGTTGCAGTAACAATTTCTACAAGTAAGATACCAGGTATTCTGGCTAAGTTCAAAGTCAAAGCAAAGTTAACTCTATTTTACTAGCAGGGTTTGAAGGAAAAAATTCACTTCACTGTTTCATTTTCTTCCTTTCTATTAACTAGTCCTTACTCTCAACTCATTTTTATTAAGGGCAGCACTATTCTTCTCATCATCCAGGTGTGTAACTTCAGTCACATCCAATCAGGTGCCAAGTCTTGTCAATTCTACCTCCACAAAGTATCTTCCAACTATCCCCATCTCTCCACTCACATGACCACTACCTTAGTTCAGGCCCTAATAATCTCCTACTTGGACCACTACAATAGCTTCATAACTGGTATCCTATTTTCCCATCTTTCCCCTTTCCAATCCACCCCGCACACAACTGCCAAACTGATATTTGTAAAGCGTAAGTCTGACTACATCACTCTCTTATTCAAGATGCTCCAGTTGCTCCACTAATGCTTGTAGCATAAAATAGAAATGCATTTTATTTGACATTTAAAGCCCTTCAAAATCTAACCAAAACTTAATTACACACTACTCCCCTTACCCTACTCTATGTTCCAGATGAAATGGCCAATTTGCTGTTCCTTCTACTTTCAGAACATGTATCTTAGACAGACATTATAAATAGATAATGAGTTGAGCACAGAATCAGACTGCAAAAGAAAAGTGGGCTGGATTCCAAACTTCTTTCAGAAACAAAAGTCTATCTTTTTAACACCAATATTCTATGAGTGTTGTTGTATGAGTAGAAGACTCCAAAGAATTTAAAAAGACTATTACTCAGATGGTTACAGAGAGGTTTTTGGTGACTGACAGCAGGCTGCAATACATAACCAAGACCTAGAGTAAAGGATGTCGTCATGAAAATGTGTGATCAAAAAAAAAAATGGACTGATCCATGTGGCAATGGATGGATAACTGGCAAATGGCCCATTTGCTTCATTCTTTGTAATGTCAGGGGAAAGCACGAAAAGTCCTAGCACACTGGACTTCTGAAGCAAACTTATGGTAAAACACGGACAAAAATTATGTTGATGTCACCCCTTCAATGAATTCTTGCTTGCAACAACAACAACAACAAAAAAAGCACTTCAGCAAAATCAACTTCCACTCCTAGTGTTTCCTACGTTTTTATAGAGGAAAATGAAGTGTTTTTCATCACATGTTCCCTAGGGCCATTTGAGTTTAGCTTCCTTCAAGTATTGTTTTTGCTAATATCATTTTAATGACCACATATACTGTACTCTTACTTCTGCTTATTTCATGCTACATCGTATGATCATACAAGTCCTCTCATTTCTCTGAAGTCCTCATAACCACAATTTCTTATGCCACTACTACAATTTGTTTAGGCATTCCACAATTTATGGGTACCAGCTTTGTTTCCGAGTTTGTTAGTTTTGCCACTGCAGAACTGCTGTTACAGATATTTTGGAATAAATATTCTGTCTTTGACTTTGGGATATAACCCAGCAGTGAGTGGAGAGATTGGATCAAAAGCTACAAAGACTTTAGTGACATCACATAACTTCAAACTATTTTCCAGAATGAATGGATCAAACCACAGCTCCATAAACAGTATATAAATTGTCTATCTTTCCACACAGCTTAATGTCACCATTTCTGTCTTATCATTTTTGCCAATTTGTTGGCCTTGAGGTGAAACTTCAGAGTTTTTTAAAAAATGTGTAACTCTAAAACTTAATAATATAGAGTAATATTCAGGCAACTGATACAAACGTATAAAAATAGAGGCTGGTCTCCAAAAGATAAGTGGTCAAAAGATAAGAAAGTCCATTCTCAAAAGAAGAAACTACAAGTTATCAACGACTATTATAAAAATGCTCCAAATCATCAGTAAATAAAGAAATACAAATTAAAACAGCTCTAAGGTTCTACTAAACATCAGATTGGCAAGAATGAGGAAAAGAGAAAAATGACAATTGAGAAGGAGTTATGAAAAGATGGACACAATATGCACTGCTGGTGAAGCTACTGATTGGACCGACCATTCTGGAAGATTGTTTGTAACCTGTACTCCAAAAGTTATCAAACTGTTCATATCATTTAATTGGATACCACTATTGGGTATATAACACAGAGGTCTGAATGTCCCTTCTTGAATTCATTAAGTGCTTTGGAAAGTATAGTTCATACAGAACCTTAATAAATTTTTACCACCATCAAAAACAGCTAATAGGAATCAATGCTTATTGCTTATTTACAATTATATAATCATTTGAATATGAAGGAAGGAACTAAGTTAAGATTAACGCATTTGAGGCATCACAAGGAAGAATCTATTTTGGTGATTCAGAATACTAAATTGCTACACCAGTTTTGTAGATTGGTTTTTTAGATATACATATCTTAGTTCAAAATATATCTTCATATGATTTTAAATATTGAAATTCTATGTAGGAATGTTAAATATATATCAATCGAGTAAAAATTTGCTCAAGAAGGCTTTCTCAAGTTGTAGGGGAAAATTCTAAAGGTCTATATTGTATGAACCCCATTTCTCAGAACAGTGAAAAGAGGCAAAGAAAAGAAGATAACTAAGATAGTTACTTCCAAAAATAAGATATTTATTTCTCTGCCTTTCTTGATAACAATGAACTGACTCTGTCAGGAGGGGAGGGAGAATGAAGAAAGCACAATCAAATTCCAAGCTACACCTCTTACATTAGGCTACAAATATTTCAATACGATTGGAGGGCCAAGAAGTAGATCCTGCAAATGGCAGTATAGAATAATTTAGTACTGAGAAGAACTTTAAAGATCACTGAGCTCAAGCCCCTCATTTACTACCTGTGTGATACTGGGCAGGTCATTTAACCACTCCGGGCTTGAGTTTCCAAATCTGTAAAGTGAAACGCTCTTCTTGGTGACCTCCATGATCACCTCCAGCTCTAAAGATTATGATCTCATGATGAGATAAAGAAATTGTAGCTCAGTGAACTTCAAACTCTACAATATTACCCTCCTAAAGGCAGTTGGTGATGCAATGGAGAAAGAGAGCTGAGCCTGGAGTCAGGGAGACCTGAGTTCAAATCTAGTCTCAGATATCAACTAGCTGTTTGTCTCTGGGCAAAGTTTTAGCTTCAGTCTGCCCCAGTTTGCTTACCTGTAAAATGAGGATTGTAATAGCACCTCCCTCTCAAGGGCTGTTATGAGATCATATTTGGAAAGTGCTCAGCACGGTGCTTAGCACATAGTAAATGCATAATAAATGCTTGTTTCTTTCCTCCTTTCCTAAAAAACTCGAAAGCAGCACTATTTATAGTGCTTAAGTGATACGCCCCACTTAAACTGGGGCCGAGGAAAGGCTGAGGAAAATGTAACTACAATGCTTTGCTTAACACTGCCATGAGTAAAATATTACTTACCCCTAATGCATATTACTTAAAGCACTGCTTATAAAAGTATATCCAATCCTGGCTTTAACGCCACAAGTCTACACCACAAGTTAAAATGTAATATAAAAAGTCAGAAACAACATAAAAATATAAAAACAATTAAAAAATTAAATAATTACCTCTCCTATGTAAACTACTATAATACAGTCCAACATCTCTTCAGGAGATAACTTATCAATAAGAGAATGAAGAGTTTCTACAAGGTAAGACTTTACTTTTCTCTTCACTGTGGGAATTCCCATTACTATTGAAACTGAAAAATAAAAATAATAAACAAAAAACAATAATTTAGTAATTAGTGTATAACTCACAAGGGCAAATTAGAAAAATAATGTTTTTAATAGGTCCATTTCATCAATTTTGTGTAGCTGTATCATGTAAAAGATAAATTAAATAAATAATGGATCAAAGTTAACAATAAGTATCAGAGAACCTATAAATAGTTAAAGATTGCATCACATCCCACTTAACATAATTATTTTAAATATTACTTGCATATAAAACCAAAAATAATTATATTGCTAAACAAGTAATAAAATCTTATTCAATGTATTAGAAATAATACTCAAATTACAGTAACACATAAGCATTATATAGTGTAACAAAGTCTAAGGATGCAAGACCATAAGCTACCAGGTTGTTAAGAAATGGATTTACATCATTTAAATAACTAAATAAATATTGGTTAACACTGTTAGTGTAATGCAAGGAATACATCATTTTTTACTTTCGTATTCCCACCATCTAGAAGCAAAAAGCACATAATATGAACTTATTAAATGTATACTAAATTGAATACAACTGCAAAAGAAAAAAAACCTCACATTTTAAATAATTATTTTGAATGACTTTTTGCTTCTATCATTCATACACAAGAAAATATGTAACAACACTTGATAAATGGAATTTCACAGTATTTGTAAAAACACTTTCCTCAATTACATATGATAGCTTACTACTGAAGCTATAAAAACTTAGTCAATTTAGCTATCCAATTTTTGAAAAAACAAATAGCTGTTACAGAAAGAGCAATTTTAGGCTGTGCTTAATGTCACAGCTAACTCAGAATAATTTCCAGAATATAGTTACCTTGAAAAACATTTTAGAAACATCTATTTAAAAGAAAACATAAAATCTTAGCTAATTAATAAATTACTTAATCTCTGAAGTTGACTAAAGGTTGAAAACTGCTGCAGTTAAAAAATTTCAGAGACAAATTTAATATAACTTAGTTCTTGCTCTTTAACACTAATTTAAGATTAGTGAAAAAACACATATAAAGAAAAAAAAGAGAGCTTGCCATACAGAGTACAATTTTTTCTACTCCTTCTACACCCAACCTATCCCATCCCAACATAAGAACAAAGTTTTAAGAGCAGGAATACTTAGAAGTGAAAGAAATTTTAGCGCTTATCTAATCTATCCCACACATAAAGGCATAAATTCTCTCAAGAGTATCTTTAACGAGACCATTTATCTGCCTAAACTTTTTGAGTAACTAACTAGTTACTAGAGGGAGGCAAGACTCACTACCTTAAATGCCAGACAAGTCCTTTTTGGACAGATCTAAAGAGTAAGGAAGTTTTTGTTTGTTTGTTTGTTTTTAACGATGATCAAAAATCAATCTTCCTATAAATCCTACCCACTGTCTAGGGCCAAGGGGACACTAACAGCCCTTCAAAATATTGGATGTCAGTAATTAATGTTCCTCTAATCCATTTTCTCTTCTCCAGAGTATAAAGCCTCCGAACATTTTTCAATTCATTTTCACATGGCATAATTTATCAAACCTAGTAGCAGTTTATGGTTTAAAGCCCCTTCACCATCCTTTTTATCCTCCTCTGGAGGTGCTCTAGTTTGGAAATGTCAACTCTATGATGATATCCAGAACCAACCAAACACAGTATTCCAGGGTACAGTGATCCTATCACCTCCCTTACTCTAACATTATACTCTTTTACTGCAGCCACAAATTCTATTAGCTTTCCTGATTTCCACCTTACACCACTGATTCACATCAAGCTTGCAGCCCACTAAAACTCCCAGGGCTATTAAACAAACTATTGTCTACTCATGCGTTCCCCATTTCTTTGTACGTTTTTTAAACTCAAGTGTAAAACAGTATATTTATATTAATCAAGTTTCCTCTTGTCTGATTCAGGTCCATACTGTTGAGATATAATTTGATTCTATAACCACTGATGTAAGGGATATAAAAAAAAAGATAAACAATCCCTTCACTTAAGAAACTTACATTGCAAAGAAAAGCAAAATATGCCAAAGGAAAAACAAAATACACACAAACTAAATTCAAAGTAATTTGGGGATGTGATGGAAAAAACACTAAGAAGTGAGAGAATAAGGAAGAACCCTGGTTAGGAGGTAGTACTTCAGCTGAGCCTGGAAGGGAACCAGAAACTCCACAAAGCAGAAAATGCATTATAGTCATAGGTGACACCTACCGTAATAACATGGTGTCAGGAGATGGAATATCACATATGGGGAACAGCATATAGAATGGGTTAGATGAAATATAATGCAGAAAATCCAGAAAGATAAACTGAAGCCAGTCTCTGAAAGTTTAAACAACGAAAGACAAATCTATATATTATTTTAAGAGGAAACAGAAGGCTAATGAAGTTTCTTGAGGAGAACAATGAGGTCAGACCTACAGTTTAGGAATATCAAATCTGAAGATATATAAAGAATGGATATCAAGACAGGGGGTAACTAATTAGGAATCTATTGCAAGAATCAAAATGAGATATGAATGGTTATAAATGAATGGTTATGCAAAACACATCAAGTCCGTAGAATCCATTAAGACTAGGCATGGGAGATGGCTGAGTGAAAGTGAAGAATCAAAGACAGAAATAAGGCAATGTAGGAGAAAACAGATAGAGTTCTGCTTTCAATACACTGAATTCGAGAAAGCTATGGGACATTCAGTTAGAAATGTTCAATAGTCAGTTGGTGATGTAACATCCAGGACAAAAAGACTAGATAGGTAATTTTAGAATTATTCTGCGTAGAAATGATTACTAAGCCCATGAGAACTGATATAATCAAGAAAGAGAATTTAAAAGCAAAGAGGCCCAAGTCAATGCTTCTATGTATAACCACATATAAGGAGTGGACCATGGATGATTTAACAAAGGACACTGGGAAGAAGCAGTTAGATAAGTAGAAGGAGAATTGGGAGAGGACAGTGTCACAAAAACTACTAAGAGGCCACTGGATTTAGCAGTTATAAGATCACTGGTAACCTTAGAGAAGGAAGTTTCAGTTGAATATTGGGGTGCAGACAAGTTTGCAAAGTATGAAGAAGTGAACAGGAGGCAAGGAGATGGAGGCAATTGGTAATTCTTGCTAGTTTAGTTGTGAATGAGAGAATAAGAGTGTGTGAATGAGATTTACAAAGATAACTTGAGTTGGAATCAAATGAATGTTTTTAAAAGATGGGAGAGACCAACTTATATGTAAAAAGAAAGGAGCTAGAGGATAAGAAGAGATTGAAGATAAGAAAAAGTAAGGGAATGAACAGTGATTCATAGACTTAAAACTGTAAGAGACATTTGAAGTCACTGTAGTCAAAACAAAAAAATGAAGACTATTTAGATGAAGGGAACTAAGACCTAGTCCGATCACGTGATTTGCCTAAGGCATGGGTGGGGAACCTTTAGCCTTGAGGCTACATGTGGCCCTCTAGGTCCTCAAGTACTTAGTCCTTTGACTGAATCCAAACTTCACAGAACAAATCCCCTTAATAAAAGGATTTGTTCTGTAAAACTTGGACTAAGTCAAAAGGCTACACCCAAGGACCTAGAAGGCCACATGTGGCCTTGAGGCCACAAGTTCCCTACCCCTGGCTACAGTAACCTAGGCAGTAAATGGTAGAGTCAGAACCTGAACCCAGGTCCTCAGATTTCTACTGCACTGTTCCGCATCAGTGAGAATCTCAGAACAACGGAGAACTACCAATGGAAGGAATTTCTAAACTCTTCAGGCTTTTGGCAAATCATCTCCAATCTTCATGTTTTCATAGACAGCACAGAACAGAAATTCCTGTCCCAACTGAAGCACCTTCTTGCTCTCTCAGGGAAATAGCTGTGCACATCTCTGAGATTTTAAAAAATGTTCCGTTTCTTTATTGACAAAGAAAATCAAAACCCTCCAAACAAGAAGTTGTGGCTGTGAGAACCCGTTCTGTGGCAGGTACAGGATCACAAACAATCCTCCAAACTCAATCGGAATCCTAATTCGGCAAATTCAATCACTCAAATTTCTTATCAGATGACTCCCCAATTTGTATTTTCAGCCCTAACTACTCAACTGCCTCTACAAAACATTTCAATATGCATTTCCCATTGGCATTTCACTTTCAACATATCCAAGATAAATATTATCTACCCCATAACCTTTACCCCACTTCAGGATTTCTATTAGGATACACATTCACCCAGTCTCCTATGATCAAAACTTAGATGTTATCTATTTTCCTCTACTTCATCTCATATACAATCAATAATGAAGTAGTTGCTGATTCTAGCTCCACAATATCTCTAGCCATCTGTTCTCTACATCCTAATCTCACTATCACCACTCTAGTACTTATTATCAACTTTCTGGAATAGTTTTTTATCTTTCCACATAGTGAATTTCTAATCTTTCAAAGTCATATTTTATATTAGTGCCGAAGTCTTTTCAAAAAACTTCAGTGGGTTTCCAATGCCTACTGAGTAAAGTTCAAACTCCTTAGTGTGGCATTCAAGGACAACTACAATCTGACACCACCCTAACCCCAATATTTTCTCATATTGCTCTTTTCATACTCCAGTTCTCCAGCAGAAATGGACAAAGTGTTCCTTTAATGACAAACATTGCTCTTTCTTGCCTTTCTGTTCATGTGCCTTCCTATGGCTAAAGCATCCTCTTTCCTACTTTTTCCCACTCTTAACTTGCTAAACTAAATTCCTATTAATCCTTTAATGACCAATCGAAATGCTACTTCCTTTAGGAAGCCTTTCTTAATGCCACCATCAGTAACTATCTCTGCCATCAGATGTATAAAAATATATAATAGCCTTTTTCAGGTCTAGTCTTTCTCAGCCTAATAAACTTATATACCCACAAAACATTTCTTCCTCCCCCCCCAGCCTCTACCCTCTCCTTTTTGTCCCAATCTTTCTTTGAAATCTTCTATTAAGAAAATATTACTGCTTCTTGAAATTTGTCACCTTCTTCATCTGATTC